TTTATTTGTTCATGGATTCTGTGTGGCTTTGTTTTTACTAATGTGTAATCAATGCAGGGGTCTTTCAATTATATCTCTTAAAGAAAATCATAAAACATACCCACTTTTGCTTTTCTCCTGAGTCTGTTGCTAAGGAGAGGAAAACGACCCAAGCATTTCCTTATCATTGTCAGGTCCAAAAGAAACTCAGAGGCTGAGCGAGCCTGGAGGTGAGCATGCGCTATGGTGTGCTAACAAGCACCCCAGAGTCAGCTGCCCTAAGTACAGGTGGCTCCCCTCAGCTCTCACCCCACCCCCACCCCAAATGTCTCCTGCTCGCTCCCTGGCTCGCTCGTGGGCTTCCCTCCCCAGCTTCTCAACCCCTTGTAGTCAGTCATCTCTGCCACTCTCTCTCTTGTCTTCCTCTCCTGCCCCTCACTCTTGGGCTCCTTTGCCCTCTCCCCGCCACCCGCCATTACCCAGTACGCTGGCCATTCTCAGTCTACCACCTTCCCCTCTGCTCTGGACCCTTCCAGATGCCTGTCTGTACTCCCTCAGATCTCTAATAAAAACCTTCCCTTCAGCCAGACTGTGGAGCAACCATGTCTTCAGTTCTTCAGTTTCTGTACTCACTGCTCTTTGTAACGATGGTTGACGCATGAGCAGGAGGATGCTTTAGCCTGCCTCGACTATCCAAATGGTCACTCAAAGTGGCTAAGGAGAGTTTGTCGTACAGGTCTGGGTGTTTTCTTTGAAACGGGGTCACACACTAGGTATCTCAGGTTGGCCTTGGATTCCTGCCTCGTTCTCCAGCGGGCTGGGGTGCAGCAGTGTACCGCCATGCTCTCAGTTTGGAGGAAGTTCTTTTTTTTTTTTCCTTTGTGTTTTTATGATGCACATGCATTATGTGTGTGCACCTATGTGTGTACTCACAAGCCCATTTGTGTGTGTGAGTGTGGGTGTGCACGTGCCACTGCATGCACGTGGAGGTCAGAGGTCAACCTCAGATGTTGGTTTTTCATCTCTTTCTTGCTAGCTGCTTCAGATCCCAGGCTGGCTGGCCTGAGAACGTCTTAGGATTCTCTTGCCTGGACCTTCCAGCTCCCGTAGGAGCACTGGGTCACAGGTGTGAGCTGCTGTGCCCAGCTTTTACCTATGTTCCAGGGACCAAACTCAGGTCCCCATGCTTGTATAAAAACTGCTTTAGCCGGTAGGCTGTCTTCCTGGCCCTGGATGGTTCTCTGTAGCGTTTTTTAGTTAACCCGTGAAAGAAGAGCAGTAAAAGGAACAAGCGGGTTGGACAGTGAGCGTCCGTCACCAAGATGCCTCTTAGGATGGAAGGGCCCATGTCCTGGTGACCTGTGTGCTGATTCCACGCTCTTCCTCCACACAGGCCCCTCTCCTAGCTCAATTACCAACCCAGACACCACAACTGCACTGCCCTTCTGGACCCTTTTCTAAGTGCCACCCTGTAAGACCCCCAGGAGCTCCTCGAATCCCTTCCCCCAGGGTCTCATGTTTGAGTCACTGGCAACATGTCCATTCATTTAGTTCTGTTTCCTGTTGAATTTGGAAGATGTGTGCATAGCTCACATTTCAGAACCCCACAGCCAGGAGTCAGGAGTCCTCTTGATCCTGAAGCAGAGATCCTAAAGTCTTTGCAGTACTGGGTAGTGTGTCCTGACACTCTGGGAACCCGCCCTCCCCACCCACTCTCTGGCTCAGGCTCAGAAGGTTCCCTGCATTCCTTCTGCACATTCACCTCCTTTAAGCTTCCTTTTCCAGGCCCCTCTTGGTTACAGCATTCAGTCACTTGTTTCATTTGTCAGATATCAGAGGATAGTAATGTGACAGACAGAAACAACAACAGAGAGACAGACGTATAGACAGTGAAAGAGTGTGAATGTGAATCTGGGCTGCTTCTCCCCAGTCTCAGGGAATCACAGTGACCCCAGCCACTGTGGGGTCCCAATGAGATCCTAATGAGAGTAGCCAAGAATTCCCTCACTCGTGTATTCATTACTCATTCCCGCCTGTCTTCCCACCTAGAGTGTCTATCACACACACACAGAGACTCCAGCCAGCTGGGAATTTGCAGACTAGTGTAAGAGTCTTGCTAAATAAAGCCAGAGCTGTGAGGCAGGTGCTAACTGTAACTAGGAAAACAGGCTGTCTGCCCACTGGAGGGAGGTAACAACTGCAGAGCGGCCAGGAAATGGTTGTCCAAGGAGGGGGAGGTGAGATCGCTGGGGAGCCTTGCATCCCTGCAGAGGGAGGACACAGTCCAGGGACAGGAAATCCTCCCAGTGCAAACAGGTTAAGCGAAGGTTTGGAGGCGCCCAAGCGTACCAGGCACCTGATCAGTGGCAGTTAGCTGAACAGGGCAGAAATGGACTGCGCAGCTGGAAGGGACTTTCAGCACAAGCTCTGACCAGCCTCCAAGGGCTGGATGATGAGGAACCTGAATTCTGTCCCTCCAATCTGTGCTCTTTTCATACACCATATGCAGTTGCTGGGGGTCTGAGCTGAGATAAACCACAACTGTAAAATATATATTGGATTTCAAAGATTAAGTACCAAAGAAAAAACAATGCTCATACGTGCCTGTGATATTGGTTGCTCATTAAAATGATTATATTTGGGACATGTTGTGTTAAATAAAATACATCTTAGAAACCATTTTTCCTGTTTCTTCTTACTTTTTTATTATTGTTTTAAAACTATTTTTCAGAGATGGGAAGTCTCACTTTGTCCCAGGCTAAAAACCCCTGGACTGAAGTGATCTCCTGCCTCAAGCTACCAAGTAGCGGGGACTACAGACCATGCCAATGCACATGGTCACTTTATTTGAATGTAGCCACTAGAAGTTGGGGACTGCGGATGTGGCTTGCCTCGTGCCTTAGAATACAGGAAGCAGTCAGTAGGTAAAGTGAAGGCGGGTCTGGACAAAGGGATGGTAAGGACAGAGGACAAGGCAAGGCTAAGGCAGAGTGAGCAGTAGGAAGCCCAGTGGAGGTTGGGTGAGACACAACTCAGATAAAAGGTAGATAATTACACGACATGAAGGAAGAACAGGCCACACCCATGACAGGCAAAGCTAGTTAAGCATTTCACGTAAATTAGTCAGTGTTAGGCCGTCAAGAGGGTTCAGCTCAGCAGGTGAAGGCGTTTGCTGCCAAGTCTTAGGACCAGATTTGACCCCTCAGGCACACATGATGGGAAAGAGAAACGACCCCCTCAAGTTGTCCTCTGACCGTCTCTCATGTGCCATGGCACGTGGGCATCCATCCACACACACAAACATGATAAATAAAGTAATAATAAATACAAATATTTCCCTTTCCATATAAAGGAAGCACTGGGCTTCAGGCCAGACTCAGGTAGGTCTTTGCTCTGGCAAGCCAACTCTAAGATGTCATCTTCCTTGGAGCTGGTGGGATAGGAGGAACCAGACGGTGGAGGAGGCCAAGCCTCCCCTGCTGCCTGGATTCCTTGTTACAGCTGGAACCTCAGACGGTGAGAAACAAGAGCGGAAGACCACTAACTGTCCTTGAAAATCGTGCTCCCAGAATCCTTTCCACAGGGTGAAGGCCACACGCAAAGAACTTGGTGATCTGAGGCATGGAAGCAGAGGGTGCCAGAGCATGACATAAGCCGGGCATGGAAGCCAGAGGGTGCCAGAGCATGACATAAGCTGAGGCCATTGTTTCACAGATCGGGAGAGTCATGGGCCTCAGGAGGCACTTCCCAGGAGGGGACCCTTGGGATCATATAGCAGTGGTAAACAGGTGTTCTCAACCATGTCTGAAGCCACAAAGGACACCATTGGCCTGGCACCTCCCTGAGGCAAAGCATGTCCATACGGCACAGACGCCTCACATACAGACTCTCACTCTTAGGGCACATTCTAGACTGCCTCCCTGAAGTCCCAGGCACCACACTGTGGCCCGGACTCTGTGAACTCTCCCATCCCTCTGCAGCCAACAAGCCTAGTGTGGCTTCAGTGGACCATGCACCTCATGTTTCAAGGTCGCTCCACAGGCCATGACTCGGAACCCAAAAGCTGAGGAGGCCCCTAATGACACCCCAAGCAGGGATTGCTGAAACCCAGGAAGGAGCTGATGAGGACCACATCCTGCCCTGCCCAGCCTGCTCCTCTCAATTAGCTTTGCTGGCAGCCGCGTTGGTCATTCACCCATTGCCTGAGGCTGCTGCTTTGCTCCAAAGATAGAACTGGGTATTTCAACAGTCATATGGTCCACACCGACAAGGCTGGTAACAATCTGGCCTTTGAGAAAATGCCGGCTGGCCTATAACTCCCCTGCACCAAAGGTAGATGTAGCTCACCCTGGGGACCTTCACTGATATCTGGATCCATCTGGGGTTGTCATCACTGACAGTGGGGGGCATGTGCTGTGTACTGCATCTGGTAGCAGAGGCCAGAGAAGTTGCTCAACACCCACAACACAAAGGCAGCTCCATGACAAGGCAGCCCCATCCCAAAACATCACTAGTACCAAGGAGCAGAACCTGCTCTAAGCCTGTCACTTGACATCTGCTCTCCCCCAAAGTAGAGGGCCAATGATGGTGTTTCCTAAACTTTCCTCTGTGACTGTGAGGGTGACAATAGAAGACGCTGTCCCTGGCAAGGAGGTCCCCCTCCAAGGTGTTTCTGTCATCCACTGACCCATGATCATAATGAGTATGCTGTTCATGGTGCCTGGCCCATCTGAGAATGACTAGTCAGGTTCTGGGGACTGGCCAGTTATGACATTGGTTCTGATATCACAAACCAGCCAAGCCAAACTCAGAAAAACAGCTTTAATTCTATAATCCAGCCTCCAGTGGGGCTCACAGCAACATTGCAAGACATGGAAAAGCTGAATGGCTCCATCTTCTTGGCTCTGTGAAGCCCCAATGCTCTACCCCTTCTCCCTATATCAGCCTAACTGAGCAAAGCAAACGGCACCTTCAGTTTAGGGTCTGAATGTCTCCAGAGCCTGGGATTCCGAATCTGTAAACTACTTTTCTCCTCCTCTCTCCCTCTCCATCCAGTTCTCCTTTTCCTGGCTCCGGAGCCCCATGGCCCAGTAATACACAGCCTCGTCCTCGGGCTGCAGTTCAGAGATCCTCAGATACCCCAGGTTCCTGGCCACGTCTTTGGATCCGGAGAAGCGAGGGGGTATCTTGGGACCCTGGTGCTTGTCTGAGCGTGAGAAATATCTCAGCAGGAACCTGGGAGGGTGGCCTGGATGCTGCTGGTACCAGTAAATGCTGTAAATGTTGATGTTATGGTTGCTGCTCAGGGCACAGGAGAGGCGGATGGTGGTTCCAAGCGAGGAAAAGGCAGACGGTGGCTGATGCAGCATGGGCTGAGGGCCACAACCTGAGAAGACAGAACCGTGGCCATCACCGGGGCAGAGCAAGGCAAGAGGAGGGGCCAGGAGGCTCTGGGCCCCAAGAAAGCCTTACCTGCCAGGTGGGCCACCAGCATGAGCAGGACTGAAGTCCAGGCCATGGCTGAAGACCGGCAGCACTCTGCTTCCCACGGCCACTGCTCCTGGGGCCCGTGCCAGCTGGGAAATGCTCTCCTCCCTGCTTTGAGAAGAGGGTCCTTGCACCGCTGGTCCCTGCTCACCACCCTCCCAGGCTTTCTGGGCTCTGCAGGCCACTTACCAGAATGGTCTGATGGCAGCCTTGGTGGCTGTGCCTTTGTCCCGTAGAAGCATACTGCAAGGAAGCACCTGCTAGAAACTTGTGGACCAGAACCCAGGAGCTGGCTGGTGGACTCATCTCCCTGAGGGAGAGTGACCTCAACTCCCCTGAGAAGCTGAGCCTCTCCAAAAAAGATTTCTTGTTCACTTTTAAATGCCTAGTGAACTGGGACGAGAGCATGCATCCTCAGGGCATAAAAGCACCTCTTCACACAGCAGGAAACCAGGGTCTCAGAGGGAGTGGGGTGCTCTGATGCCTTCTAAGCTCTGAAGAGCCTTCAACTTGGGTCTTTCTGTCCTAGAACAAAGCAGCTTTAAAAAGAAAAAGTAGCAGGGGGCGTATCTTCCTGCCCTCTCTGCTCTCTGCCCACTGCACGTGTGCCTGCTACCGAGTAAACTACACCTCACTCACACGCTGGAGCTGTGTTCTCCTATGGGCCTCTATGTCCAGACAGGAGTTATCAGGAGGTAATTAAGCTTAAATGAGACCAGGGATGGGACCCTGAGCCAGTAAATTGGTGTCCTTGTGAAAATGGAAAAATTGAACAGACGCTGTTGATGAGGGACGTCAAGAAAAGGCCTCCATCTCTATGCCAAGGCATCTTGTGTCAGGTCCTCCTCTAGAATCCTTAGGAAGAGCCTGGTGATAACCTGCCTTTGGACTTTCAGCTTCAGAGACATGAGAGGACCAGTTCTATTGTTTCAGCCACTCAGCATGCAGGACCTTATCCCCTGCAGCCTTAGGCAATGAATCCAGAAGCATCTTACTCTGGTGGGCTACAGTACAAGATGCCATCCTTTGGGTGTCTAATAACAACAGAAATTCCTATTTTACACATTCCAAAACTGCAGAGTCCAAGGGCTCCGACCAGTTCTGCCTGCTGAAGGCTCGTTTCCTGGCTCACAGACAGTGCCGTCTCCTTCTGACCTCACGTGGCAAAAGGTAAACGGAGCTCTCTGAAGCCCTTTCATAAAGAACTTATAGTCCCCAAAGGCCCCACCTCCCCACATCACCTGGGGAGTTAGTATCTCAGCCTGTGAATAGTACATGACACTCATATCCAAACCGTAGCCAGAAGGGACTCCAGGGTGACCCAAGAGCCGTTCCCACATGCTCATTCTCCTACAAAAAGCTGGAAGTTTCCTGGCCCTTGAATCCCATGCACTGGGTAACACTGAGCAAGTCACCTTGTCTGCAAGTCACAAATGATGGTGGGCACCCACATCTCAAATGAGCCCATGCCCCTTCTCTCCCTAACGTGGAACAGACGTCACCAGTCCTAATCAGCTGGGCAGAGGCTGGAACTTAATCTTTCCCCCACCTCATTGACCAACATCGTCCTCTGCCAAAGGGGTGGGGCAGGCCTCTGTGGACACAGGCACTTTTACCAGCCTTGTCCAGCCATGGCTGTAGCCATGTCTAGGACCTGTTGTTGTTGCTCCTTCCTCCTCATCCATCCTGGGAGACAGGGGATGAACCACTGGGTACTGAGTCCCAGGATGAGGGGGAATGTTGTTCACTCATCGACTCATTCCTGCCTCCAGCAGCCCACCCGTGTGTTGGGCTTGTAAAGGTCCTGTTATCAGAGCTAGAGACAGTCCCACTAGTGAACACCGACACTTCACCAGCCCTCTGAGCCCTCTCACCACTGACACAATTGGAGCTTTCTGATCCCTGATGATTCTCAGAGAGGACCTGTGGTTGTCCTTGTCCTTGAGACAAAAGAGGAGCCAAGAACCACACTCAGCCACCGGGAAGCCCTCGTCTCAACTTTATTTTTACAGACTTAACCTCATTCTAGGACCCTCTGTGGTAGTTTGAAAGAAAATAACCCCCAAAGAGAACGGTACTACTAGGAGGCAGGTCCTTGTTTGAGGAAGTGTGTCACTGTGGAGGTGGACTTGGAGATCCCATATATGCTCAAGCCACACCCCGTGAAACAGACCACTTCCTGTTCCCTGAAAGATGTAGAACTCTCAGCTCCTCTCCAGCACTACGTCTGCCTGCATCCTGCCATGTCCCACCATGATAATGGACTGAACCTCTGAACTGTAAGCAAGCCACTCCAATTAAATGTTTTCCTTTTTAAGAGTTGCTGGGGTCATGGTGTCTCTTCACAGCAATAGAAACCCTAACTGAGACAGAAGTTGATACTAGGGACTGGGGTATGCTATGATAGACCTGACCATGTTTTTGTTTAGAGTAATATGGACCTTGGGACTGTGGATTAGAAAAGCAGTTGAATGCTTTAAGTGCTGCCTAATGGGCCATCCTAATAGGAACATGGAAGACAGTAGTGCTGAGTGTGATTTAATGAACTGTGGGGGCTGGCTCAAGAGGTTTCAAAGGGGAAGAATTTTAGTATGTTGCCAGAGATCATTCTTGTGATATTTTGGTGAAGAATGTGGCTGCTTTTTGTCCTTATCTGAAGAGTCTGCCTGAGGCTAAAGTGAAGGGTTTTGGATTAATTCTACTGGCAATCGCTTCTCGGCCTTTTGGCTAAGATCAAGTGTAATTCCACTGGCAGAGGAAATCTCAAAACAACCTAGTAGACTCTGTCATGTGGTTATTAGTGTTAACTCTAATGAAGATTTATGAAAAGCAGCAAGCTGAGCAAATAAAAATATAAAATGTAGAGACTGAGAAAGGGAACACCAGGAAGTGGAATGGAGCAAAGTCCTGTGTTCAAGGAGATAAACGGATTAAGAAATGGAATAAAGGGAGTGGGCAAGATTCCACCCAGCTGTTTCCAACTTGTGAAAAGGAACTAAAGAAAAGTTTAGAGCTGGGTGTGGTGGTGCACACCTTTGATCCCAACACTCAGAAGGCATAGACTGGCGGATCTCTGAGTTAGAGCCCATCCTGGTCTAGAGATCCAGTTTCAGGACAGCAAAGCTTAGGCAGTGAAGGACAGAAAGCTGGTGAAGATGTAATTGAAGGGGGGCCATGTTCCAGCCCCAATAAGCAGCAGAATTTGGCAGCTTTGGCCTCATGGTTCTGACTTTCGAGTCAAGAATAGAAGAAAGGGGCTATGGAATAAAGCTGCTGAGGCCAGGCAGGTGTCAGGGTGTCCCTGAATGGAGGCTAGAGAGGCCATTGTGTGAAGATGCGAAGTTGAAGCCTGGATTGCCTTGGAGACCCCAAGATACTGGAGAGCCATGGGACACCCGCCAAGGAGAGCTGCTAACAGGGAGTGGAACCAGCCTGAGAGAGAAGTGTGTTGCAGTCAACAAAGCTGAAAGGAGTTGGAGATCTGAAGAGCATTTTGGCGTCAGACATGGAGAGGCAGAGTTTAGAGTTTGCCCAGCTGGGTTTTGGTCTTGCATTGATCCAGTATTTCCTCACTATGCTCCCTTCCTATGTTTTGCAATGGTTTTGTATATCCTGTGCCATTATAAGTTGGAAGTATGTGATGGGTTTGTTTTATTTTATTTTATAGGAGATTACAGTTAAAGACATTGCATAAATCTCAGAAGAGACTTTGAACTTTAGACTTTTAAATAAGTCTGAGACTGTGATAGATTACAGGGACTTTTGTTTTTGTTTTTGTTTTTTGTTTTTCGAGACAGGGTTTCTCTGTGTAGCTTTGCGCCTTTCCTGGATCTCGCTCTGTAGACCAGGCTGGCCTCGATCACAGAGATCCACCTGGCTCTGCCTCCCGAGTGCTGGGATTAAAGGCATGTGCCACCTCCACCCGGCTGATTATGGGGACTTTTGAAGTTGGATTGAATACATTTTTGCATTATGATATGGCTACAAGCCTTTGGGGGCCAGGGAGTAGAATTTGGTGGTTTGAAAGAAAATAGCCTTCAAAGAGAATGGCACTATTAGTAGATGTGGTCTTGTTTGAGGAAGTGTGTCACTGTGGAGGCAGGCTTTGAGACCTCATATATGCTCAAGCTACACCTAATGAGAAAGACCACTTCCTGTTGCCTAAAAGACCTAGGACTCTCAGCTACTTCTCCAGCACCATGTCTACCTGCATGCTGCCATGTCCCATCGTGATAATACACTGAATCTCTGAATTGTAAGCAAGCCACCTCAATTACATGTTTTCCTTTATAAGAGTTGCCGTGGTCATGGTGTCTCTTCACAGCAATAGAAAACCTGACTAAGACAGCCTCACAACACCCACCTGGAAAAACTAGTTTCAAGTGGATACTATGTGTGAGAGGAAGTTTCTGGAGCCTCCTAGGCCCTACAGGAGATGGTTCCGGCCCCTGAAATATTTGGGTTGGGAAGGGGTCACACACTGTTGACTGATGCATTCTCTTGGCTTTGCAGCCTTACCCCACCTCTGTCCTCTCAGCCATGGCCTCACCCAGCAGCTAGACTCACAGACAGTCAGGTATGACATCTTGGTGGAGTGGATATATTCTATACTTCTCCCAGGCTATATACAACCTTTTTTTTTTTTTTTTTTTTTGGTATTTTCGAGACAGGGTTTCTCTGTGTAGTTTTGGTGCCTGTCTGGATCTTGCTCTGTAGACCAGGCTGGCCTCAAACTCACAGAGGTTCGCCTGGCTCTGCCTCCCATATACAACCCTTCTTTGGACCAAAACATGGTTATTGATACAGACTTCAAGGTCTACAGAACCCCAGGCTACCAGGACCCCATTCAACCCTGCTGCCCAGTTGCAGATACTTTGTAGACGGTTTTTATCATTGTTGTATAACAATACCTGTGAGTTGATACATTCCATCCTTCAGGGATGCTCCTTCAGTCACAGGATGTTTCAACGGGAGGCTCCTTAAGACTCCAGAAGTAAACGTGAGACCAAAACAGGAATAAGAACAATACAC